TTGACTACCAATGAGTTTGTTACTTGCGTTACAGAATTGATCGGTTGCCTAAAACAAATACGAAGCTGTTTTGAGGTTATTATCAAACATTGCCAATTCTGTCGTTTTGCTAATTCTGTCTTTAGTATTAAATTGTTTTGCTAAATTTTGTCTTTAATTGTTTTTCTTCTTAGAGAAACACGGTTAGATGTGTAGAGATTTTAAAGTTTCTTTTTTCTTTTAGGTTCTTGAAAAGATATTAAGTCCATGTTTGAGCCATATTATATTTTTCATTTTTCTACTCAATTTTAATCACACGTTCTTCAATAAAATAATATTTTTCATCACATCAATAATTTTTCTCTTTTTCAATCACATATTCCCTACCACATCAACTAAAAAAATGCACTATCCACAAAAATGCATACCAAAAAGAGGCTAAACCCCTATTTGGTAGGAGATTAAAATTAGATTTTTAGTATATTTTGATAAAAAATTGATGAAATGTGTGGTTGAAAAATTGTGGGTTCTATAAAATATATGGTTATAATTTATTATTGATTTTGATTTGGATTAAAATTTAGATTTTAATTTATACTAAATAGAGGCTTAAATTATGAGGTGGATCAATTAGATTGAGGGTTTTGCCAAATCCACTTTACAATTCTACTTTGTTTATGCAATGTATGTTTTAATTAATATCAAATTTCAATATGGTGGTAATTCAACAAACATATAATGATAAGTGGGTACTCAAATTCAAGATAATTGAAGGAAATGTCAAGTGAACAGGAAAACAGAAGAAATTCGTCAAGAGTAATTGAATTGATGTGGAGGAAAAAAATTAGATGAAAAGATGAGATCGTGTGACCGGCGCTGGGCCCATAACCCAAAATCGTGGATCCGACCAGACCCGAACCGATAGGGTCGGTTCGGGTTGGTTTTGATTTAAAAATGGGTTGGGTTGGGTTGGGTCGGGTCGGGTCGGGTCGGGTCGGATCCACCGTTTAAATATTTTCAAACTGACCCAACCCATTATCCCTAACCCTATTTCCTAATTCCAAATGCAAATCGCCTCCAGGGAAATCGCCTCCACAACCCTCCACGAAATTGCCTCCACAGCCTGCCTCGAAATTGCCTCCACAGCCCTCATACAGAAATATAAAAAACTTACGTTTATGCACTCGTATTACATTACTTTGTTTTATTAAATATTTGTGCTTGAAACTTTTTTGGTTAAGGGAAGAAAATGTTGGTACCTTTGATGGCATCGCTTTGTGTTCCTGGTTCGCTGGATGATGCGGATAAGGTGTTGGTGGAAGTAGGCACTGATTACTTTATAGAGGTTAGTCCAACGCTTGGAAAATTTGGTGGTACATAGATTATTTTTCAAAACTTTGTGTAATTAAATATTTCTATACCTGTGCCTAGTATTGCTTGTGTCAATCCATATATTTTTCTTATTTGCTTTCACTTTTAAATTCAAGAACCTATGATATAGTTGAGCAAGTAGATCCTTACCAGTTTTTCCCTGTTCTAGAATTCTAATGATTTAACATCAATCTCCTTGAATCGGTTTGATCTTCTCAAAATCCTGCATGGTTATTCTCTCTAGATTGATTCACTACTGGGATAGCCTAGACTTTGAACCTAAAATCTGCTATTTTTGTCCGAGGCTTCAATGATTTCTCCTGGGGTTTGTTAAAGTTTTGTTGGGAGGGGATTGCACGAAGGTGATTGAGGAGTTTTTCCAGCTATGAATGCTCAACTAACTCACAAATTGCGTTTAAGTGGGCCTATGATGTTGTTATATAACCAGCATTAGA